TGGACTAGATGACCCACAGAGGTCCCTTCCAACCCCTACTATTCTGTGATTCTGTGATTCTGTAATAGAAGGAACTTTTAAGTTCATGTCTTGCTGAGCCACTTTGCACTGTGAAGGAAGGAGAAGGACACGTTAAATATTATTATGTGATAATAGCAATCATACTGAAAACAAAGCTTGTGCTGTGGTGTGTTTTTTTTGTTTTGTGGGTTTTTTTATTTGCTGTGGTACCCAAAAATGTAATGGCCAGTGTAAAGAAGGAGAATTGCTCTATCCAGGTGCGTGAGCCATCTGTAACGTTGGATTGGTTGTTTCTTTCAGGTCAAAGCCACTGGACAGGAGCTCTTTCAGCAAGTTTGTGATCTAGTGAAGATTAAAGAGCCTCACTTCTTTGGCCTCAGCATTGTTAAAAGTAAGCAAACTCAGTGCGTGGAGCAAATGACTTGGCAAGCGTCCACAGACCCGCTTGTGTATTTACAGTGTGTGCATATAGACACAGCGGCCGTGCCTGCGGGGAATTTGATTGTAATAAGGTCACAAAGTATGTAGATTATGCACAGGCTGCTCGGAGCTCTTTTGATCTTTGGTATGTGGGCAGACAAATTGGCAGAGGGGGGGGCTTTTGTTCTCCTCCTTTGTTCTTACGGTTCCACTTCTTTGTGGGGTTTTCTTTCTCTCCTGTAGCCGAGTTGCTAGCCAACATATTTGTCACTGAATTCAAAACTGTCAGTAGCTGAACAGGAGGTGAATTTTGAAAGGGCTTTGGGGCTGAAAGTGTTACTTATCTTCTGAAGTCACACGCAAAGAATGTGGCACCAGGAGGAGGAAATTCAGATGGTTTGAGGGGACTGAATGCATGTATGGGGGGCAGTGGACTTTGAGATACCGCGTGGGAAATACAAAACCGCTTAGTCCGTGGGTTGAAGTCCTGTCTGCTTCACCCTACGGCGCAGTATTGACCAGGGAACGGTGTAAGATGATGCCTGAAAGGAGCAAACTGATATGAGATATTACATTTCTGGGATGGTGTGTGCATTGGCACCCCAACCAACTCCTAGTAATTAGAAATGGATCTGTTGTCCTCCTTATCCTGCCTCCCCACATTTCTTAAAAAAAGTGGAAAGGACTTTTCTTCCCTCCAAAATTTTGCTCAAGTGTGTTATTACTCACTACTGCAACTCTAGGCACTGTGTCATTGGAATGAGAATAGTCTTTTATGAGTCCTTCTAAATAAGTTTTCTTTTGCCTCCTGATGAGTATGAGGGATAAAACAGTTTCTGTGGAAAGTTTACTTGTCTCATGTCCTTTCTGCTCTCATTCTCTAAGGGCTTTTGCTTTTTTTGAGCACAGCACTCACACTAAGGCTGGTGTAGTAAGCTGGTTATCGCTGGAAGGTTTGTAGAGTCTCCAAGAGATTCCATCAATGTAGCTAACAAATGTATCTGTGCGTTTAAGCCAGCTCAGGTTTTTGTATGTGAGGAAGACCTAAATGCTCTTAACTTTTTTCACAGATCGACTGTGTTCCCGTGAGTCCCCACCTCTGCTGCCTTTTTATAACACCAGTTTTTCCCTATTCCACCTGGAGGACGTCTCGGGTGAAACTGGAGCTCCTGTCCTCCCCTGTAAGACAGGGCAGTTTCATTCCCATTTTCTTCCAAGGAGCTGCTCGTCTCCTCTGTTCCTCGTGTTTGTCTCTCTTTTTTTCTCTTTCATATCTTTCTTCTTTCATGTTTTCTGCACCCTGCTTTTTCCTTCCCTGCCACCTTTTGCGCGGAGCAGCTTCCTTCACCCTGTCAAGCCCAGGGGTTCTGGCCCCAAAAGACCCTGTTGTGGCAGATGCCTTTCAGCCAGTTGGAAGTGCAGTGTAGCTACCCCAACCCAAAGAGCATAATAAAGCTGTGCTAACTAGACCTTGAAGTGTATTGCTCATAGCTTTAAACGTAAACAACCTTCTTGCTTCACAGAAGTGTTCTTCTTTTTTAGAGCAGCTAATTCTTCACATAGCCCTTAGAAAAATGTCAAGGAAAAGAGTTGCAGGAGCCCAGTAGCCTGAATTAACCTCTGTTTTTGTTTTGTTTTGTTTTCCTTACTGTTCCTCACTCCTGCTTGTTGTCGCTCAGTTTGTAAAGCTGCTTAACTGAAGGCTCCTCGTGCTCACCCTGACTCCTCCTGACAGCCATCTCCCGCCGCCGCCCAGGCAGGCGTCAGGATTTTGGATGAAGAGATTTATTTTCCTTTGAGCCTCTGTTTAAGAAACTGTTGGGCACGGACAGCAGAGAAGTGTCAGCCGTGGGTTTCTCAGCCTGAATGGCCGTAGCCACCAGGGAGGCTGCAGCCTGCTCACGAGCGAGGGAGCAAACCCTGGTCTGTTACTGCACCCTCTGGTCCCTGCCTTTAGTCTGCAAAAGTCCAGTATGCTGCTGACTGGAGTCTCGTGGGGTGGCTCTTAGGGTTTTCTTTATTTTGTTTTTAAAATAGCTCCAAGTTTATTACTGTAGAGCTGTAGCAAAGGAAGTCTTTGGGGTTTTTTGGTGCCAAACTGGATTTCCCACCTCCCTGTTTTGGCCAGCAGACTGGTGATCATCTCCCTTGCTGCCGGTGGTAAGTGATGTCTTGCTTCTGTTGCAAACCTAGCACGCTCCATCTCTGCTATTTGGAAGCAGCCTTTAAGGCATTGCCTGCTTTTCAGGGGTTTTTGGTTTCACGGCAAGCTGTCGTCTCCAGAAGGGAAAGCAGCCTGGTCAGGTTGTGGGGAGGCTGTCTTGTGGGCACTTCAGTCAGCAGCGAGTCGGTGTAGGTCCCACAGCGGCTGCGAAGGGAAGGTGTGGGGCTGCTCTGCGAGGCCAGGGCGGGTCAGATGTCCGAAAAGGGGAGAGAGGAAGCCTCCGCGGTCCACACCAAAGTATTCCTCTTCTGCACCGTGCTTTCACCTCTATGTGCTGCACCCCTAAGATGCCATTTTTGAAGAAACAACTGCCCTGTTTTAATAAGGGTGTATTTCCCAGTTTCTTAATGTCTATTTATTTTTGGCAGTGTGATGCTTCCTTATGCAGAACGAGGTTTTCTGATCCACCTTGCTGCTAATTTGTGAACAAAACCTTGACTGTCAGCAGCAGCAAGAGAATGAAAATTAAGGGATTTCTGCAGAACTGTAACCAATCACACTGGGTGGATTATCTGGATTAGGAGCCCGTCTGACCTGCAGACATTGTACAGATAGACTAATGCTCGGTTGCTCTCGTAGTAAGTAGGTGTGTGAGGGGGAGAGATTGGGCGCCTTAATCATAAACAGAAGTTTAACCCCTAAGTGTGGCAAAAATGAAAACAGCACCACAAAGCCCTGCGCAAAAGGCGAACCGTGAACGCTGTGAGATCAAAGCTCCGGGTCTTGGAGCGTGTCGTCCAGCGTTCGTTGCGTAAATTCGTTGCCTTCACTTCTCACTGTTACAGATGCTGAGGGCAAGCTTCAGGATTTCAGAGAACAGTAATAGTGGCAGAACAGAGTTTTTCACCTGTTTCACTCTTGAGCTTTTTTGTTCTCAAGACGAAAACTCCTTCAGCCAATTGTATTGGGGGGGGAAAGCTTGCATCTGTAAGAAGAATTTGATCCCTTTCAAATTAAGTTTGGGCGTGTATATTAATGGGAAGCCACACCGGCACAAGCTTGGGACATGTTGCTCTTCTAGTTTTGTCACAGATCATCAAGCAGGCTGTGCCTTCCGTGCTGCTGGAGCGCATTTTTGCCTTGCAATTTGCTCAGTGAAAGACCCTGCAGCCCTGCCAGGCTCAAGCTGGCTCTGTCGGCTTCAGCAGCTCCTCCTGCAGGGTCAGCCTTATCTGGTGCCCTGCGGGAGGTTTCCCCCTTGTTATCGGAAAGTGTATGCAGCGACACAGTTCAGTCTTCTAATCCAAAATGGATTGTCAGCAGACAAAGAACAGCCAGGCCTCCTTTGTTGTTATAACCCAGATCCATGCGATCCTGAATCTTGGCTTCTACTTTCTGGGAGCAAACCTTGCTTGACCCAGGCAGATGGAAACCCTCACAGAATCACAGAATCACAGAATAGTAGGGGTTGGAAGGGACCTCTGTGGGTCATCTAGTCCAACCCCCCTGCCGAAGCAGGGTCACCTACAGTAGGCTGCACAGGACCTTGTCCAGGCGGATCTTGAATATCTCCAGAGAAGGAGACTCCACAACCTCCCTGGGCAGCCTGTTCCAGTGCTCCGTCACCCTCAGAGAGAAGAAGTTCCTCCTCATGTTCAGACGGAACTTCCTGTGCCTCAGTTTGTGCCCATTGCCCCTTGTCCTGTCACTGGGCACCACTGAAAAGAGCTTGGCCCCATCCTCCTGACACCCACCCTTCAGATATTTGTAGGCATTTATAAGGTCCCCTCTCAGCCTTCTCTTCTCCAGGCTGAACAAGCCCAGTTCGCTCAACCTCTCCTCGTAGGGGAGATGCTCCAGTCTCCTCACCATCCTCGTTCCCTCGACTGGGAAGGAGCAAGCCTGCAGTTCTGCACCCTGCTGCTGTCTCTCTGTGTCCTCTTACCAGTTTGTCCGGCCGGCTTTCTAACAAATCCAAATGCCTGTGCTTCAGCTCCCCTGCCTCAGGGATCACCCTTCGTTTGTACAGCTACGGGTGTTCGCTTTGGCAGACCCGTGCCTCCCAGCACAGGCTTAGCGAGGAGCTTGGTGGTTAGCTCTGCCAAGACCACTCTGCCTCCAGTTAATTCTTCTGCATCTGTGTGTCCTCCAGTACTGAAGTTCATGGGTGGAATAAGCTACCGTGTGATCTTTATGTTATGTGGTTGTCTGTTACAACAAAGGGTCTCGTAAGAAGACCGATGACAACAGAAGTGCTCCATGATACCCTCTGCTGATGTCTACTCCCCAGTCCTTCCCCACTATCCCTGCTTCTGTCTCTCCTCCCTTAAATCTGCTTGGAAAGTGGCATCTCCGGAGCACTGGAACAGGCTGCCCAGGGAGGTTGTGGAGTCTCCTTCTCTGGAGATACTCAAGACCCGCCTGGACAAGATCCTGTGCAGCCTACTGTAGGTGACCCTGCTTCGGCAGGGGGGTTGGACTAGATGACCCACAGAGGTCCCTTCCAACCCCTACTATTCTGTGATTCTGTGAATTTCTTCTGTATTCTAACCTAAGATACAGCTCTGTTATGATGACTTTGATACCTCAGATGAGTTAAATGCAATGTAAGAAAAGCATGTGCAGAAAAGTGTCACCTAGAGGGAATTGCAGGGGTTCAGGTGTTCAAAAAGTGTGTAATACTCCTTGGAAGTACCTGCACGGTCCCTTCCTAGGAAGGCATCTTTTTGCCTGTACCTGCTGTCGGTTGTTTCTCCTTCAGCATCAGTACAACATCCAGCCAAGCGCTCTCCTGCCTGAGAATTGCAAGGGGTTTCTTTGCTCCTGGATGAGCAGTGCTGCAAACCATTCTGCAGCTCTTCTTGGGCAGAAGAATCCCCTGTGACACCACCAAAAGTCTGAAGATCTTTGCCTGGGCATGCCTTGTTGCTAACCATAAGATCCCATCATAAAGTTCCCGCAGTACCCATCCATCGTCAGGAATGACTGAGCCTTTGTCTCAGACTTAAGACCTCAGCAGCTCCTACCAGCCACACGACCTCGAGCTTCTTGATCTTGCCTCCTTTCCTTCTTCCCTCTGTATACCTTCTGTCTGTCCCAGGTGAAGCGACCTCAGCTAGGACCTCCCTTGCTTTACTCCCAGCTTCTGTTGTGGTTCTTCCCTTCTTCACCTGGGACATGTGTACTTCCCAGCGAAAGCTGGAAACACGAGGTCTTCCTGGACAGAGTTCCTCTAGACCCCTTAGTAAACTCATTGACCAGGTACTGAAAAGTGGACAAGGTTTCTTTCTGTTGGCTTGAAAGCTAACCCCAGGAACGTGGAGAACTTACACAGAGGTGGTGGGAGTGGATGCCATGTGGACAGTGACATTCCCCAGGCCACCAGCACTCGGAAGCCTGGGGAGCTCCTCAGGCAGAAGGAGCGTGTGGCCGGCTCTTCTTCAATAAACAATAAAACTCCATGCTGGTATTCAGGGAAGCCAGACAGGTTATGCGAGGTCTGCAGCGTGGTTGAGCGCTGTTCTTTTTTTGAGCTCGAGCTCTCCCCTAGCCCCAGCATCCCTCTGTTCTGCTCCCCATCTCTTTCCTGTTGCCTTGCAAGAGAAATAGTGGTGTTGCCACGAGGCTTCTGGCAGCGTCTGGAGAAGTTAAACATAGCCAAGGATAATTTTTTTTTTTTTCCTTTCTCTTTAAGGCAGAAAATGCTTGCTTTCTGGAAGTTTGACTTTGCGCTAATTCAGATTTTATTTGAATCCTAATCTTCTGGACTGTCTAAATAGCCGAGGCCAGTGAAGCAATGGCAGTTTGTACCTGCTGAGCATCCAGCCCTGTTTGGATCCACAGGTCGGGCACGTTGCTCTCTGGAAGGGCAGCCGTCGGTGCATTTCTATACTGTCCTTTACAGCTCTGCTCTGAGGTGCTGCAGCGTGGTGCCCTCATCTATGTTAGCGATGCTTGTTTTCAAACCAGAGACAGTTTTAGCATCTGGCAAAAGATCTCTAAGTTTCACCACTAATCCAGTTTAAGCACAAAAAACCCCCACAACCCACGTAGGGCTGGGGAGGGAAATGCCTCTTTGTTTTTGTAGATGGAGGCTTACACTGCAGGTTGACATTCCAGTGATATTAACTTCATTAAGGAAGTTCTTGCACTGGAGGGAGGACTGGGAGGAGGCTGGGCTGGGCTGGGGAGGAGCAGGACCCCCAGGGAGAGCTGATACATCGGGGTGTCCTCCTCCTTCAGCCTCAGTTATTCTTGGGGTTTATGTGCGTCTCTGGGTAGGCATGGTCATGACCTGGAGTCCTCAGGCTTGACGTCTGGGCCCTCCCAGAGCCATCTCTCTAATTAACACGGCAGAGATAAACAGGGGCTGTGGGTAAGAAATGGCTTTGCTGCGGTGGAACTGCTCCTTTTTCCCTTTCTGTCCCAGTAGCCGCATGTGATGGGATGGCTCAGGATATACCACAGTGTTTGCTGGTGCTGTCTTTCCCTGGTGGCTGAGGAATAATTCAAGTATTTCCCTAAAGGCCTCTGAGGATGGGGTAGTTCCTGAGCAAGGAGGTGAAACCTACTCCACAGCTTGTTCCAGCCATGCAGGTTCCCTACCCCGTGTCCGAGATGGCAGCTGAGCACGGTGATGTGGCCGACCCGATGCCGGCCGTACCCACCGCTGCTGTGCCAGCAGGAGCAGAGCCCGCGCTGGGGCGAGCGCCCTGCCCGGGGTGGGGGACTGGGTGCCAGGCTCCCCTCATCCCACTCTTGTCGCTTGCTGTGTGATTGCTGCTTAAATGAGCTTTGGTTTGCTTTTTAAGAAAAGCTTTACAGAGAGAGGCTTATCAGCTTGGCAGCTGACAAGGGACAGAGACAAGTCCAAGAGATGGACCAAACCCATCTCTCTCACTGACCGGGACTTCTGTCAGCTTCTTCGAGGCAGGGTTATCTGATCTGAATGGACTTGGAGAAGCAAGGGCTGGGGCCAGCATAGCCCCCCGCCTGCCCCGTCTTACAGGCAGAAGTGAAGAGGCAGGGACATCTCTGTGATTCTAAAAACTCTTGCTTTCCTTTTCCAATTAGCAAAAGAACTTCTGTATCCTTGTTTGTACATCACTTAAATTCCCACCGCTAAAATTTTCAGGACTTCTGTACAGCAGTTTCAACAGTGCTGTGAAATACAGCGTTGTGATATGTCAAGCACCGTGGTAAACAGAAGTGTAATGATATTAAAACTACAGCTGCAATGGGTACAGTGCAGGAAAGGCCATAGAGATGGAAACAGGACTTTTTCCTGGGATTGTCCTCTTTATCCGAGTCCAGTGTTACGGGTATTTTACAGAAGGCTTCCTGCTAGTGTGGGGTGCGTACCGATCCGGGCCAGCACCAGGTGTGGCTTCTCTCGCTTGAGGCGGGAGCTGAAGGAGGTGGCGAGAGGGAGTTGTTTTCCTTACTTGTTTTCTAAAAGCTGTTGAGGGAATTATTTGCTGTGTCTGCCCCTGTAAGGAACTGGAGTGCTCTGGGAGGATGGCTGCGAGGTGGCTCAGAGTCCCCTTGGAATATGGGCAGCAACGCTGGCCTCTGCCGGTCCTTCATCTGCCGTACAGACACGAGCGCAGGCTCTCATTTGGGTGTAAATCTCCCTTAGAAAATTTCATCTCTTCTTCTCTCCCTTTTTCTTGTTTGACATCAGAAAGCAAAAGCCAAAGCTTGGAAGTCTGGGCTCGTCTTCAGGGGTTGCTTTGTGAAGGGTTCTTTTTTTAAAAAACTTTTTCCCCCTTTTTTTCCCTGCTCCTTTCATGTCTAAGGAACAAGCTCTTCAACTTGGCACTTATGTCACCTGTCAAAACACTTTCCTGGGCAAGACCAAAGAGTAGAGGGATGGGTCAGGTGAATGTGCTTAGCTGGCATTGCTGCTGGAGCCTGCAACGCCCATCAGCTCTTTTTTTCAAGAGCTTTGAGAAGACTCAGGGAAAAATCTTTCACTGGCTGAGTTGTTCGGGGTTGATAATTGGTAAGCAGTGTTACAAAACGTTGGAACATTGGCTTTGAAAGCAGCGCAAAGCTCTTCCAAGACGATGTGCTTGTTCACCCTCGCCTGGGTGGAGAGCAAGTCCCGGTCCTTTGAGGCAGGTCAGGTTTCCCTTCCTTCCCTTCGTCTTTTTGCTCTGTGAAGGAGGTTGGATATGAGCAGTAGATGCCAGACCTTCTGAAGAGGGCGTTTGGGTTTGGTCTTCCTCCTCCTCCTCACCATTTTGGAGGATCACCTTCATATGTTGAGGATGGAACCCGCTGAATACCTGACTCTGTCCACTTATGCTGCGCTGGACGATGGCAGAGTGGAAGTTTGGAGAGGGCTTGCTTGCGTAATAGTAATAAAAAACCTGAATCTGCTAAACTGACAGTACAATTAACTTGGTGAGATGATGGTTCCCTTCTGTAAGTGGCTTCTTGCTTATAAAGCAAGAATTGTGCATTTCTGGCTAAGGTGTTTGGGAAACTTCAGCTCAGCATTTCGTGAATGGAGGCGTAGCTGACCTTCCTTCCCTGCTGCCTGGAGTAGCACACGTACTGAAGAGACGCCGTGCCCTCTCTTTTCCCTGCCCTGTCTATTCCCTGGTCGGCTTTGTTTTAAAGTGGATTGCTTGGAAACAACTTGTAAAGTCATCTAAACATTTCACGAATAAGAATTTCTAGTTCTTTAACGTTAAATGCTTTTTCCTCTTGTCTTTCAGATAATGAATATGTTTTTATGGACCTGGAGCAGAAGCTTAGCAAATACTTTTCAAAGGAATGGAAGAAAGAGACCACCAAAGTAAGACAGATGTTTAATTTTGGAGGCTACCGCCTTTGGTATTGGACAACACAGTGAAATGAAAGCTCTTAAACTAAGGTCCA